TTGTATCACAGGAATAGAATGAATTTTTAAATATATTAAATTAGAATGTTGTATTACCATTTTACTGTAATTCTGCCAAAAAAATCGTACCATCCCCAAACATTTGAATGATACTATACATGCAGGTATATAATTTGGTAACACTTTAGAATAGGGAACGGGGAACGCATATTCACTATTAACTAAGAATTGTCCCTGAACAAACTCCTAATTTGTTGCTTATTAATAGTTAATAATGTAGTTGTTAAGTTTAGGTATGGGGTAGGGTTAAAGAATCTAAAATATGGTCATGCAGAGTAGGCATTAATATGTGCTTTATAAGTACCAATAAACAGCCAATATGCTAGTAATATGCATGCTAATAAGCAACTAGTTAATAGTGAGAACTGGTCCTTAAAATAAAATGTTTAATTTTATGACCTGGTGTTTTGGACAAGGATTTCTATTTATCCATTTTCTTCTATCATTTATCCAACAGAGGCACTTGATTTCTCACATGTACCTCCTCTGTTGACAGAGTCTGTACCTGTGGTGGTATTGACTTAACCAGCTTTAGGCTTTTCACTTGAAATTGTGAACCCAGGGTCATTCTTTATCATATCTTTATCTAACTTTATCTCAAACTTTAATCTATTGTAATGTACATATCCTGGGTAGTCAGGTTTCAAGATTTCACACTGTACATTTGTAAACTGGGTTACTTATTGCATATTTATAAGGTTAATCATTCTGCAAATACAACATGCAACCACTTTTTAATAACTGCTTGTCCATCTGTTGCAAATGTTGCCATGTAGTTTTACTCGGGTTGTATGGTCTTCTGAAACAAAAACAAAAACTGTAAACCCAGTGTTAAAAGAAAAAAGCCCTACACTCTGTGAAAAGCCCTACACTTTGTTTAGATGCTGTTAGTCATAAGATAATCTTAATTTATTATTCCTTGGAGCATTTTATCCACAACTATATTTTCAGGAATACTCCATTTATTTATTAGTCCAATATTATTTAAGGACCAGGCATGAGAATAACATGTGAATGTGATTTGCCTGACTTTTCCACATTTATTTCAACATGTTTGCCATTTATGCCAGTGGTCATGATTTAAATGGCTCATCGTTCTCTGTTGGTCCGTAAAACTTTACTAAACAGAATAGATCTTACTGAAGTATAAAGCCCCTCCCCACAGGTGATCCATAAAGTCAATGTGTTACCATGTGAATCTGCCAGAGACTTTAATATTAAGTTTTAGCCAGTCTCTGTGGTCTTATTCAGACCTAGCCCTCGTTCCTCAAGTGTTGATCAGTGTTGGCTTTCAGCATCTTCATCCTACTTGGAGTCATTGGGCCAAATCACTCCAGCTGCTCAAACACAGCCCCATGTTTATAGGGCCCAATAAAGCATGATTTCCTCCAATCATATTAAATATGTGTTTTAAAACACTGTCATTAGAGAAATGACTACACTATGTGCAAGGCTAATATATTAAGCCTGGTCTCAGTCACGGGTCATGTCTCTGGCAATGAGCTTGGCCCATAAAGCATTAGATCATGGGGTTTGATGTGCCCATAGATGATATCACTGAGGAACCATCGTCTGGAGAAGAGAAGGCTGGATACTGTTACTTAACACTACTCACTACTGATAACCTGCTATGACAAACAAATAAAGTTGGTCATGTCACATTCACAGTGAATATGAAAAAAGAATCTAAATTTTGTCATCAGTTACTAAATCCAAACCTGTATGGACAAAAAAGAAGATATTTTGAGAAGTCTTTCAGTGTTTTTTGTCGATGGGATCCAATGTTGTTTAGTCCCCATTTGCAAAATCATTTAAAAAAATATTTTTTCAAATATCTTCTTTTTTTATGTTCCACAGAAGTAAGAAAGGTTTGGAATGACATGAGGATAAGTCAGTGATGACAGAATTTTCATTTTTGATGCACTGTCTGTTTAAAACATGCATCACATTATGTCAGACACACTCCAGTTGAAATGTTTTTACAACATGCAAAATAATGTTTCCTTTTCACCTTAAATCATAGAAAAGTGAGGAAAAACATTTATGGCATTTTCAGCCTATATTGCCACTTTTCTGCTGCTGTCTGTGCTGTTTATCTGACCCTCATTTCTTCCTCCATTTGAAATTTCCTTACCTAAACAGTCTTTTTCTCACTGTAGCACACAGTGTGGGATCTGGGCATGTTTGTGAATGAATTCATAAGCAGCACATGTGAGCTTGATAAACTGTGTGTGTCATTGGCAGCATCGAAGAACTGCGGACCTGCTGTGGTGGTGCATACTAGTGTGCCCTTTGGCATCCAGCACCTGGAGGAGGAGAAGGATGCGGTACAGCCCATCATCCTGGAAGAGCTGGAAAAGGTGATGCCAGAGCTACCTCAACCTGACAGCATCAAGTGTCAGAAGTGGAGATACTCACAGGTGAGACTACATTAGTCTGTGTGAGAATTTGACTAAGAATCTCAAAATCCTTCAAAAGTTTGGAGTCGGTAAGAATTTTTTTTTAACAAAAGAAATGAATACGCACACATACACACACACTTGTGTATGTGATTTATGGGGACTCTCCATAGGCATAATGGTTTTTATACTGTACAAACTATATTTTCTATCCCCTTACACTAACCCTACCCCTAAACCTAACCATCACACAAAACCTTGTGCATTTTTTTAGATTTTCAAAAAAAAACACTGTATAGTAAGTTTTTTATGTCATTTGGTTTACGAAGACACAGGAAGTGTAACATTGTAATACCTATGTCATTATACACATTTGTGACCTCATAAACCATATTAACCAATACACACAAACTATGCTCCTTTTTAGGACCCAAGTCCTAGTTGCTTTGTTGTTTTTCTAAAGATTATTATTATTAGGGCCCAGGCCCTATAGCAGGACCCTATTGTTTTTCTAAGGATTATTATTATTGTTATTTTTATTATTTTTTTTGTTTTGTTTTTTTCAAGGTTTCGGGGGCTTTGGGGGCACATAACATGCTCAAAAACCCTTCAAACATCAGATATAAAACTCTGAAGGGAAATACTGTTGCCATGGCACCGTCTCCAACTTTAATATTCTTCTTGGGTCTTTTTGAGGCACTTAACATGCTTAGAATTTCATGAAACTCGACACACATTAGAGTTATCGGCCGTTAGGCATTGGCAAATGGGCGTGGAGGAGACGCTCTATAGCGCCACATTTAGACAAAAGTGGTAGAGGGTTAGTTTTTCCTACAGTCACCAAACTTGGTACATATGTTTTACAGTCATTAGCTATAACCAACAGGAAGTTGCATATTTTGATTTGATGTGGATTTTTTTTTAAATATGGCCGATGCGTTATTGCATACTCCTCCTAGAGGATTCATGCAATTCACAACAAACTTTGTCAGCATGATGACAAGATATTGATGATTGATTGATTTATTAAAATAACGGTCAAAAAGGAAACTAATCTTCTTATATCTTTTAAGTGCTTTTTCCAAACTCCTCAAAACTTTTTACATACGGAGAACAAGTCATTCTGAGGAAAAATGCTTAGTTTCATGAATTTCTGATGCTCTGGGGCCTAACAGCTAATTAAAAATAATCAAACATTGCAGCTGACAGATGAAGTCTGTGGTAATAAGGTTGTCCACCAGATGGAGTCATAGGATAAGAAATCTTTTAAGCCTGATCTTTCTCCTGTCTGTTTCCACCCATTAGAATGACAAATAAATGCATAAAATCAGTTATGTACTTCACTGACAATATATTTTTATGTAATTATTTTTAATAAATGCTTATAGATGATTAAAATCATTTTAAAATTATTAATGATCATTCAGAGTTTTATATATCCTTTCTTTTCTGTGAGTGTATCTGTTTCACACTCTTGATTTTCTAGAGTAACCCTTACACTGCTGTGACTCAACAACCAGACTGCCAGAGGGTTAAATGCATGTGCCCGATGTGCAATGTTTTCCTAATGCCATCGGGGGTTTGCGGTGGCACCGGGGCTTGTGCCCGTCATCGCTGCTTGCAGCTATATTTAAACTTTACAATTACTCGGCCTGAAACAGGGTTCACTTTGAACTTTGACATCAGAAAGTTTGATAGAGAGGTTCACAGAATCTTAAAGTGGAGCACTGAAAGCAGTACTATAATAAAAATTTTATTTAGTCATTTTTATCATCCCCCCCATTCCATCCCATCCTGGGTCAGTCCTTTATAATTCATATGTAGTTCATTATTTTTAGATTTCATTTAATTTCTTTTATGATCTGCTACATTATGAATTATCTTTGTAAGGGTCCACTGTAATATGTGTGATGATATATAACAAGAGTGAAACAGCGATGTTTTGGCTTATTCAGGCAACTGCTAGTAATAGAAGCCTCCCTGCTATACAGCAGAAGACATTCATTTTTAATTAAGCCAGGCTGATGGTGTCTTCAGACCGCTCTATTGAAACAAAAGATATTAATCAGTGATATTAAGACTTGTTTTATTTTTCTTGTACCTTTGACAAATATTTTAGTTTTTGTTTTATTGTTTTAGTTTTGCTTCTCTAATAAGATTTATATTTCATTTAATTTCTTTTATGATCTGCTACATTATGAATTATCTTTGTAAGGGTCCACTGTAATATGTGTGATGATATATAACCAGAGTGAAACAGCGATGTTTTGGCTTATTCAGGCAACTGCTAGTAATAGAAGCCTCCCTGCTATACAGCAGAAGACATTCATTTTTAATTAAGCCAGGCTGATGGTGTCTTCAGACCGCTCTATTGAAACAAAAGATATTAATCAGTGATATTAAGACTTGTTTTATTTTTCTTGTACCTTTGACAAATATTTTAGTTTTTGTTTTATTGTTTTAGTTTTGCTTCTCTAATAAATAAGGGCTAAAAATATATAGTTTTACTGGAAAACATACAAAATACAGATTAAGAAAAAACTAGTTTAACTTTTTCTTAAGGGTCTTGGTAGATTCACACACATAGAAATCCATACTCTCCCCCCGCTCACTTGGCTCACACACACACACAATCTTACAGTAGTACTTTATACATTCACACACTGTGTGGGACTGTGCCCTTTCTCGCACAGTTGCATTCTCTCTCTCTCACACACACACACACGGACGTTCTCTTTCGAAGCCCCCACACTCTCAGCTCCTCTGTGACACACAGCACTGGGCCTTAGTTTGAGGTCAGAGGACATAGAACATCTGTGTGGGAGCGCTGAGCTTGCTGAGTGCCAGAGAGTGGGCCAAGGCCTGTTTAGACTGCAAAGGCAGGAACACACTTACTCACACATGCACACACACACACCTATGCACGTGCCAGTTCCCGGTCAAACACACAGAGGGCATGGAGCAGGAGTCGGTCTTACAGTCATTTGCCACATCACAGTTTGCTGAGCATAAACCGACAACACACACTTGCATTCACCACATGTCAAAGTCATTGACTCCTCTGGACGCTAATGGCTGGAAAGACTCTTCATGAGTCATGACTTTCAATCTATTGTAAATGCAGACTGCTTTTTTCAACAGACACTACTACATTGTTGGAGCGCAGAAAATGTGCATTCCTTTTTTTATCACTCAAGCTTAATAATACATAACTTAAATTCATAATTAAAAGGCATGGTGAATAATGCACACATCACCTCAATCATTAACATCTGGTGTGGTCTAGATGTATCATTAATGTCGTTAAAAAATGTGTAGGATTTAGGACTGTCAGTTGAATGTGTTGATTTAGTGTGATTAGTAAAAACTACAATAAGTAATGTACTATAAAAAATAATTATATCCAAAGACATTATTTAGAAATAATAAAGCATTAAAATAATAAAAAGTAACATGAATGCACCGTAAGTGACAAAAGTGTCAGCAAAAGAAATAAACATAAGACATTTTACCCTACATATCACATGTAACACTTATTCAGTGTAGTCTGGATTGTATTTTCGTGTACATCTCATAGTTTTGTTCATAAAGGTGAGGGCCTTATTTGGCTTCTACCAATGGATGAATTTGTGCCAGTATTAGAGTTTATTGGACACGCAATCTTAGACACCAATATCACAAGATATCAAAAGCCAAACCTTTTCTTCTCCCTTTTAAATTTGATAAGCTTATTTATTTTCCTACTGTAAATGGTTGATTATACATTTAGCACATTGGCATTTAGCATTTTGAACAGAAGTGCAGACCCATTTTTGGTTTGCATGACTATTTCATAACTTAATGGTTGTATATGGGAAAAGTGTTGGTTCTACAACTTGTTGCGACAAACCCCTTAGCTTGGGAAACCCCCTGTACTTCTCCTAATAATAGCTAATAATTGTTTACTTAAAGAGATAGTTCACACAAAAATGTAAGTTTTGTCATCATTTACTCTCCTTAATGGAATTCCAAGCCTTTATAACAGACCTTTCATTTAGGGGTGAACTATTCCTTTAAAGAGTTTGTTGCAACCATGCCCTGCAGTTTGATGCACCAAAGTTCTGACACACTGGATCTTTAATGTATGAATGTACACCAGAGGAATGTGGAGTAAAGCAGATTTAAGGAGGTTAAGGAGTTCAGCCTTACTTACTTCAGCATACCTCCGAAATAGACCAAACAATTTGTTCTTGGCCATGTTTCAGGCCAAATGTTTATCAATTGATTTACACACAGATTACCATTTAAAGATACAAGAGGGGAGGGGGAGTTTGGACAGAATGATGATAGTGCTCGGTCTGTAAGATGCCTAGTGAAAGCCCCAGAAAATGGACACTATTTCCTTGACTCTAGTGCGTTGCACCTCGATGTTTATCTGGCGGAGAGTTGGGGCCGGCCGAAGCATTTGTAATGGGCCATGCAGGGAATGTGTTTACTCTCAGTAGTCATTTACATGCTGCATTTCTACATTTAAACATTGTACAGAGACTGTTCTAGTTGTGGCTCTTTTTGAGTTATCTGCAAACGTGTGTCGGATTTACAATGAGGACCTGTATCATTGACTACTGAATGTAGAATGCATACATCATTTTAATGAGCTATAGAGGCAGTTTATAAAGAAGATAAGCCCAGATAATTAGTTTACAGTGCAACATGTCTGTCTTCTGTAAATATTAATACATAAAAGCTACAGAGTTACAGCAAAAATAACTTTCAGGTGCTTAACTTTCAAAAAGCAACTTTCAAATGCTTAAAGGTCCCATGACATGCTGCTTTTTGGATGCTTTTATATAGGCCTAAGTGGTCCCTAGTACTGTATCTGAAGTCTCTTTCCCGAAATTCAGCCTTGGTGCAGAATTTCAGCCACTACGAGCCAGTCCCACAATGAGCTTTCCTTAGGACGTACTCAAATGCTTAACCTTCAAAAACTAGCTTTCAAATGCTTAACTTTTAAAAACTAATATTCAAATGCTTAACTTTCA